TGTTAGAGTGTTGTTTGTTATGATTTCTACAGTCCCATCAGATGTGCCACTTGGGTCAGAGCTCGCCTGGTCCAGCAGCCAGGGTTTACATGCCCCGCCTTTCCACAGTCCTTCCTGTTCCACTCTCCCATCTTTTCCAGTCTGAATCCCTGCTCTACGCTCGGCTCCCACCTTTGCCCTCGACAGAGCCTCCCCTCCCACAATCTTTCTCCCCCTCCAGCTCCCCGTCCACCAAGCATGCATTACTTCATTCATGACTTCCTGATCCTCAAAATAAGTCTGTAGGGTGAGCCTATGCAGGCTCATAGTATCCTGTCAATAATGATCAAGAGAAAAATCATATATATATATATATATATATATATATATATCAGTATCTGGATAAGCTGGTGGCACATACAGTGTGTACATATATAAAATTTTATTACAACACATCATGCAGTCAGAGGTGCTTCACATAGTTCTCCACATTTACTTGCACCAAAAAAGGAGTCCCGAAAGCATAGTTGTGCCATCAAGCAATTTCACTTTTATAGTAGGCCTTGTTCTTTCTGGAGATGAAAAAGCGTTCCTCCCACATGACTTCACTTCTTGTGCTAATGCGATTTTAATGAAAGATTGTGATGTGGCTCTTTGGCAGAATCAGTAATGTGATTACAGAGTGCCGCAGTGAGCCAAGGCACACCATGGCAGCCTACTCTTAAACCTGCCTGCCAGTGAGAAAAAGACCTTCACATGGCTGGGTTTCCGACATGGAACTGAAAGTGGAGAGAAAAAAAAAAAAAAATACAAATCATTTTGGTTTATAAGCCAATTGATCAATTCACCAGAGGAAGTCCAGCTGTGAATGTGACTAGGACTGACGCCACTGCACCTCTGGCCAACGTCATGTTTCAGATGATTGTAGCAATAAAAGAACATGCAAGAGAAACTTGTAAAACTATTGGTAATGGGCATTGCCAAGATAACATACAATAACAAGCTCTTCAGAGATCTGTAGAGTATAAATATTCTGCTGCAAACAACAAATCAGTGAAGGGTGGTTGAGAGGGTAGAGACAGGACACAGTTCCTGTGGAAGAAACCCTCTGAAACAGAAGCACATCTGCATGTTGCTCCTCTAGTGGGCACTTCCATGTCATGGCTCTCTGGCCCGGAGCCCTGCTAAAGCTTCCTCTCAGAACCAAGGACTTTCCATAGTGGGACATCCTCCCAGCAGTACGAGTGTAGGGAGTCACTGAAAGGTGAGAAGGGCCTGGGACATGGACATCAACGATTGTCTTTTTGGAAAGTCCAAACAGCAGATCATTCAGAGGTCAAACTTAATCCACAGCATTTACTATACGTTGGTACTAAGACAGTTTTTTACAACTCTCCTGAGTGTCAGATCTAATAGTGAAGCCGGTAGTGACCATTATATACAGAGAGGATTAAACCGCTTAGCCTCCCCAAATCAACTCATCAAAAACCACTGTCTGAGCTCAAAGGTTCATCTACCCTACCTACTTCAAAGCTACAAACCACAAACAAGACAGATTTAGAAAGAAAAAAACCCACAGGGTCACATTCTCACGAGGGAAGATTATCAGAGTAATGTCAAAGTAATAACAGTTAGGCTGGCACTGAGTTCCACCCTGTGTAAATAAACAGCGCTATTACTTTATAACTCATTTAAACTTGAGCTACGGCTAAAACTACTGGGAACTTAGCATCAGTGAAGTATCAGTGATATTGGTGAGGTGAGATGCCAGTCCACCCCAGCCACAGCCTGTTCACCCTGCTTCCATCTTACAAAGAGATACAGAAGTTTCCCCTGCCGTACCACAAGACTCCACAGATCAACTTCTTTCCCCAGGCTGTGAGACTCCTTTGTTCCAACAACAAAACCCCCAAAAAAACCTTTGCAATAAGGCTAAGAAAAGCAGGAAATCATGTTTGAGAGGCTACAACCAACACATTTTGGCCATTTTTTCCCCTTTCCTTCCTAAAATTACTCAAACGATGAATCAAATATTAAAATTGAGGTTGACAAATTTTTCTAATGCTCGACTAATTTTTTTTGGCTCTACCTTTAATACGCGTGTTATCATTCAAAGACGTGCTGCTGACAGCTACTCAGCCCAGTTTGGATTTATTATCCTCGCCTTAAATTAAATATCAAGTTAGGAACCACCTTTTGTAAACAGTCATGTATTGTTTTTACATCTGGATAACAGCAAAAAAAAAAAAAAAAAAAAAAAACAAGACAGCCAGGCAGTGGGAATTATTGTTTTAATATTTTGCTATTGCAGTTGGATAATGTTGAAGTTGCTCTACTACTGCTTTCGGCAAGGGGAGTGAAACACCTCACAATTACAGTGATCTAAAGAATGCGGACAAATTTGACACTGGAAGAAGGGTCAGGCCACATTCTCAAAAATGGTTGAGGCTGAGAGTACTTCATTAATGTCAGCACCAAAAGAGCGTGATCACCAGTTCCTCTCTGAAACTTTAACTGACTTTGCCTTTTCCCCAGTGTATGACCAAGCTTCCTTATTTCTTGTCATATTCTCATAGGCAACACGGACCTAATAAGGGTTAACAGACTTGAAATTTGATATCTATACGTCACTATGTTGGACACACTTAGAATCAACATAAAAAAAGCGATGCATGGTTTAGCCACAGTCATATAAAGGCATAAAATACAAGACGTGACATGTCCTGAAACGGGATACCGTGTGTCCGGTTACACGAACATAGCAGCGAATCAATATCAACTCATCTTTGAGCAACAGTGAATACCGGAGTTCACCACAGTGTTCTGTGGAAGTCTGCCTGGTAACTCGGCGTGGCTGCCAAAACCAAGGCTGAAGAAAGGCATGTGCAAACTCTCAACTCTAAGTCACAGCAGGTAAATTAAACAGAAGACAGAACAAGGTCATGACGCTCAATTACAGTTCACCTGAAAGTTGCAAAGATTTTTATTCAGACAATGCTTAACACACGGTATGATAACTTAACTTAAAAATAACTGCCCTGACATTTTGATGCAAATTAGTACAACTGAAAGTGTATACAATATGTGAACGTTGCAGTTTTGGGGGAATATTCACCATGGTGAGAGAGGTCAGAGGAGAAGAGCAAGACTCACTCAAGGTAACAGGTAGAATAGATCACAAGTAAGTGTATTACAGTTGAGTAATGTACAATAAAGGACGACAGCGTGAAGCAGACGGAGCTACAGCAGCATTAGGCAATGCTGGGTTCCTCTCATGTTACTGTAAGTACCAGACTGAATCTGTAGAAGAGGCCTGGTGTCAACAGTACAAAGTTTGCTGGCGATGGTGTGCACAGGTTTCTTTGACACAGACGTGCTGCTGCTTCGTTTGAATACCTCAGCATTACTTTGTGACCATATCGACCCCATGTCAAGTATATACTTGACCACTAAATCTCGGAGCACCTGCTGTTTCAAGGTGTTTATTTAGGAGTGTCAGTGATTTCAATTCCCTCCAGAAACCAGGAATGTCCTCAGAGCTCAATCTAACCAAGCAAAATTTTAAAACTGAAGCTGCAGCATGTATGAATAATGTCACAATAATATATAATATTTTTCCGAAGTTCAGTACAATCAAAATGTATTCTGCTCTTGTTCATTACACCAGACTAAACTCCTAAAATGAGTAAAACTAACTTAAATAATAATTTTTAACTAGCTTAAAATCATTAATTTGGTCTACATAATCTTGTAAAGTGACAACACAATATGATCATATCCTCATGACACGCCAATACTTCACCTACTTCCAAGGTGCACGGAGAAGGGGAAAAGTGTGAAGAGGTCACAACTCCAGCAACACTTGTAGCATCAAAAAACAACTTAATTGTAAGACCAACGAGTTTCAGCTTGTGGCCTAGACCCTAAAGAAGGCCAAAACATGTATCTCTGACAATAAGGCTGTTCTTTATACTACATGTTTTTGCTGGAGTTTTGACCTTTTCGACATAAAATTGCATCCAAGCTGTAAATGTGCCACTAGAACTGTTTGACACTTTGAAGTCAGCATGAACTAAGAGCTGTTCAAGCTTGACCTCGCTGGATCGGTGCCATGAAGAATTTAGGCTGCCTTAAAGACAAAATGAGGCAACATACCTGAATACCTGTGACCAACTAGCAGCACAGAAACAAAACACGAGGAAGTTAGTCTGTCTGAGGGTTGAAGAGCAGAAAAACTTGATGTGTGCCAGCCCCAAAAGCACTTAGGTTAGGCACAATTGTGGCACTGCTGCTAAAGCCTATCTGTGAACACTACAGCTTTGACACTACGGTATTAGTAGCGATATGATGAACTAAAGAATATTAGTCTCAAAGATTGCATTCACATAGGACTAAAATAGTTTGCCATTTCTGGCTGGTCGTTTTAAAAATACTTTAACATTGTGATACTCCATTTTGCAAGACATCTTTCAGGGCAATTTGATTTAATACAATTATAAAACATTATATAAAGAAGCTACAGGTATTTTAAACAAAGCATATTGACAGCAGATGACTGTGTGTTGTAGTCTGGCTGTAAGCACTGGGCACCTTACAGACAAGCCCAGCCCACAAGACTAGAGTTCAGAGAGATAACGATCTAATAACTTGAACTCAGTTGAGGTGTGTGTGACAGCGAGGAAATAGAGCAGGAGGTCATTAAATGCGCTCAGGGTTGTTGGTTCAGCTCATAACATTGACTAGCTGTCCCCCATAAAACAGAATTGTTCAAAAAGAAATATTCACACAGATTAGAAAGACAGCCTCTTATATTATTTAATTATTTAATCTTTGCTGTAACTCTTAAGCAAGCCGTTTCCCCTTTTTTACATAACATAACCAAATGGAAACGACAATCATTGGCAAACTGCACACCAAGACCCCTTCCCAGGACAAGTAACGTTAAATGTATTTATTTATTTATTTTTAACTTTTCTCACAGTATAAAGTCACCTAATTAAAAAGCCTTCAAATCAACTTACGCTTTGTTGCATTGATGAGGTTCTTCCCATCTTTGTACAGTTCTTTGATAAATCTGTTAGTCTTGTCCAGCTCTGCTTCGTGTGCCTTTATTTTCTCCCTGAAGCCGGGGCTGTCCAGATAGCACTCACTAAACTCCAGCGGGTGTAGTCCCATTTCTGTGACAGTTTGATAGCTTCGTTTTCTAGAAGGCAAAATCGGTCAAAAAGCCGCTCACTTTGTCGCTAAAAAAAAAAAAAAATAGTCGTGACACTCAAACTACCGCTCTTTTCGCTGGCAGTTTCTAGCAGATGAACCATAGCTACGTCAAGTAGCAGCAGCTAGCGGTGGTTAGCATGTTAACTTCTGACACAGGCGCTCGGATGTTGTTCCACAGTTGTAAGATAACGCAAAGAGTAGCTAACAGGTATAACGGTGAAAAGATAACAACACGCTATCGGGTGAAGTATTCATCGGAAGTCAGTTCACAGGAGTTGTCAGAAAGTCATGGAGTTCCTGTATCCGATTTTTCCTTCCTCCATCAAACAACACTCCACCCAGCGAAGTGACAGATTGAGAAACTCTACTCTTGACATCTGTGTGCGTGTAGCAAACTTCTACCAAAGAGTAAGCAGCTTCTGGAAGATTGTTTAGTCATATCTACTTCCGCCTTTGCTTCGCTGCACCGGGAGCGCTGATTTGGTTTTGTGTAAGTCAAATGATGTCATTAATGGTGGAATAAGTATTCGGATCTTTAACTTAGGTAAAAGTAACAATATCATAATGATTAAAAGTATTTAATTACAAGTTAAAGAATTACATTCAAAATAGTAGGCATATGTTAAGGAAATGCTAATCACCTTGGTTGAAAATATTACCTTAAGTAGGCTACAATTAAAAAGTACTTCATATTAAAAAGAAAATGACTGTGAAAAGATTTTATTATTATTATATTATTTGATCATCAAAGTATAATTAGCATATTACCATTGTAGTTGGTATAAGTAGTACTAATTGTACCTACTTTATAGGCCGTTTAATCAATAACGATGCATATAAACTCATCATATGTTTTGCATGTAAAATCATAATTTCCCGAAGTAACTAATACAGCTGTCAGATAAATGTAGTGGAGTGAAAAGTACAATATTTCCTTCTGAAATGGGGTCAAGTAGACATATAGAGTGGCAGAAAAGAAAAAATACTCAAGACAAGAACCCCAAAATTGCATTTACTGTAATTGAGTAAATGTACTTAGTTCACATCCACCACTTCTAGAAAGCTAACTGGGGTCAACCGGATGGTGGGGATAACACTTGGAATGCAAAGCAAACCATAAATGTTAATTACAATTCACAAAAGTAATAATAATACAGTAATGCATGCAATATAAAAGAACCACTATGAACAAGATAAATAATTACAAGATAAAGTATAACTACATGAGTTTGTACAAGCAGTGTGAAACAAAAAATACGGAAGGGAAGCGAAATGGGCCGACCATTGTCCAGGACTGCGACAGCAAAGGCTTACAACAAGGCAAGGTGAATACAACAGAGAAGCAGAGGCTCTCAAAACAACAATTCGAAAGTGAATTTTCTGCTGCAGTGCAGTAGCAAGAGCAGTGAAAAGTGGTGGAGAAGCAGATGGAAGAACAAATGATCACATTACAACAAAGCTCAAATCTGCAGTTTTCAGTAACTACAGTAACTGATTACCATAATGTCCTAATATAGTAGACAACCCACAACATGTTAATAAAACTGTACAGCTAAAGGGCCTTACAGGAATATCTGTGAGTCACTGCCCATATGGATCCTTAAGTGCCTAGGCAGCAAGGTCAACAAACAAGATAAACCATCAAGTAGCCTACACCAGAAGCCAAGTGCTGAATATAAGCCTATGAAGGTTAAGTGCTTAAGCTCCTGCATAGTCTTCAACCCCCATGGCGACAAGGTGCCATTAGCCACCTCCTGTGCATGCACAGAAAAAATCACAATGTAAAGCAATGTCAATGGGTCATTTGGGAATGGACAAGTGTAAGAAAAGAATTAGTACTAAAGGGTTTAACCCACTAGAATAACACACGCAAGACATAAGAACGCTTCTTTCATGTTTAACCGTAGTGGTTTTTGCGCATGGGATCTATCTTGATCTTTTGTAATCTTTGGCTGTGCTTCAGGTTTAATTGGTTACATCAGAGGCAAATCTGAGGCGGTGACATTTACTGTAGCGTAATTTGTAAATAAACACGGTTAGTATTATTCACCTTGCTCTCTGTGACTAATAGGTCCTGCTTGTTACTTTAAATCATAAATGTAATAAACTTGATTATAAGTGCGCCCCTGGAACCATGTGTCGTTACATGTTTCTTTCCGAGCTGTTTAGCGCACGGGCACGTTTCTTGTTTAACGGCAGCAGAAATGTGATTTACAGTTTTAATTAACGTCTTGCAGTTTGAACGCGAATATAAACAGATACGGTAATTTTTTTGGACATGAAGCTAAGCTCTAGTAGCTACTGTCAGACCAGCTTTTATCTAACGTTAGGCTGCTGCCAGAAGAATGATGCTAACGACTTTTTGGACGTAACCGTAACGTTAATGTTGGCGTGTTTGCAACATTAGCAACGCCACCTTAACGTTACCAAGAAAGCAGTGATCTTTCCGTGAAAGTCAATCCCATAACGTTACTACAGCCTGTAATCTTAAAAAAAAAAACATACAGTAAGTCAACATAAATTGTCAATAATGCCTGTAAACTACTTAGCAATTTGCTTAAAGTTTCTTTGTTAATGTTTTTATTAACTTAAGTTAGCTTACTTATGTAAAATATTTTCAGTTTGTGTTGAAGTTATTAGGATAATTATTTTGAATTTACAAGGTTTTGGCATGTATGATGGCCCATTTCCAGGAAGCAAAAACTGGATTAGCTCATATTTTGGAATGACAAAAAAACAAGAGATCCCCTAACATCTACTCATTATTTTTTCATTGTTTCATAATTTCGACTGTGTTACTTTAATTAGTAAATCAAAGTTTGGACCTGTTATACATTAAACATTTTGATTAAGAAATACAAAAAATAACTTGTATGACATTTAATTGTGTTTTCCTGGCAGAAATGGGCTTCCTTAGTCAATGAGCCGTACAGAACAGTGTCATATATGTGGAACCTTATTGTATTAAAGTAGCATTAATATGTTTGTTGTATTATCAGACATTCTCATTTCATAATAGACTCTCCACTCTCCTTTTTTTGCAAGGATGCCTAATGCCAGTGCTAGGCCGAAGCACGGGAGGAGGTCCCGGAGGCGACGCAGAGAGGACTCGGCCAGGAACGAGCTGGTCTCTAGTTCACTAGAAAGTGCCCAGCAGTGCCTGTTCAACCAAGATTATGGAACTGCGTTTGTGCACTACCTGCTTGTCCTCAACCTTGCGCCTGCGTTTAAGGACTTTGCGAAGGTAATGACTACTTACACTACTCTGAAAACCTGTTTGCGTACAGCCACTGCAAAACACTGTGCGCACCTACATGTCAACCAGCCAGTTTTTACTGTTGCAGATTTGAAAGATGTTCAGTTTTGGAACTCTGTTTTGTGACGTATCCCTTTTTTAGGAGTCCTTCAGATTCACTCTCTCCAAATGGGCAGAAGAGCTGGACTCTGTGGGCCGGATTCAAGACCTCTTTGACTGTTATGAACAAGCGCTGGAGCTGTTTCCTGCTGATGAGGTTATTCTGAACAGCATGGGTGAACACCTGTTCAGGTATTATCCCCATCTGCGCAACCAAATATATAAATTTGTTCTTATAATGCGTCACCACTCCCGCAATCATAGGGCTTAATGCATTATTTAGGTGAATTATGTTCTAATACTGTTTTTGACTCCTTTTCTTATCCAGAATGGGCTTTAGAGACGAAGCCGCAGGTCATTTCCATAAAGCCTTGAAGGTGAGACCAGACTATCCAGAAGCCAGGGAGAACTTCTACCGTGTGGCCAACTGGCTAGTGGAGCGCTGGCATTTCTTAATGCTCAACGACCATGGGAGGAACCGGAAGTACCAGCAAGCCATTCAGAAGGCCGTTCAGAGCGGCTGCAACACTGTACTTGACATAGGTACTGGCACTGGGATCCTTGGGTGAGATATTTTCTGTGACAATTTGGAAACCTTTTTTAATTGTTTAGGTTACTACGGAGTTTTCGTTTATTTGAGTTGGCACTCGATCCTTGTCAATCCAAACCCACATACTTAAGTTTATCTTAAGTTTGCCTGCAGCTAGAATAGGACCTGTGTTTTAATGCGTGGGTATTATTGTTTTCATTTCCTGGTTCTCTCTGTTAAGTATGTGTGCTAAGAAGGCAGGGGCTGCTGAGGTGTATGCCTGTGAACTGTCAAAGACGATGTATGAACTGGCCTGTGAGGTGGTGACCGCTAATGGAATGGATGGTAAAATCAAGATCCTCCATATGAAATCTCTGGAGATGGAAGTGCCAAAGGACATCCCACACAGGTATTTACATATGAAACCGAAACCATTTTACATTGATAGTATAAGCATGAAACCTGACATCTCTTGTTTAGAGTTGAGTTGTGTTAATCATGCTTTTCCATTCAATGTTTTGTTTTCCTTAGGGTGTCCTTGGTGGTGACAGAGACGGTTGACGCAGGATTGTTTGGAGAGGGCATCATAGAGAGTCTCATTCATGCCTGGCACCACCTCCTGCTGCCTCCACAGGTAACTTTAAATATTAACACAAACAGGAAACAGAACTTTGTTCTCCAGTTGCAACAGTGCAATATTAATGCTTCAGTGAGTTCTCGGCACCAAAAATCTATTGCTGTTTGCCGCCGACATACAGGGTTGAAAATCTTTGAAAAACACAAGGAGTTGTGTCACAATTCAGGGTGTGGGCTTGGTGGACTCAAATGCCAGGCAATGAAATGTTTTAGCCTCACAGAGAACAAAATTAACAATGGCTTTAGGGTGCTTCTTGTCAACCCACCGTAAAGTCAAAACATGTCTTAAGTTCTACAGAAGGTTATTTTTTTGAACGTCCTCATTTCAGCATATGCAGTAACTGGAAAATAGTGTACCAGGTGAATGGTAAATGCATCCAGTTAACTTACATGTTGTGTTAGTGACTTAATTAGGGGCTTAATGTGTAGTTTCATTAAAAGCACATGTTTCTTGTCCCAAAGAGAGGTGAGAATGAATTCCAGGAACAGTCTGCGACCGGACGGGTCATCCCTGCCAGAGCCACTGTGTTTGGTATGGCTGTTGAGTCCCTCGAGATCCGCAGGCATCACAGGTAGGCCCTGGAGTCCATCTGAATCCCTGTAAGATAAAATATGTTCCTGTATTGAACTACCAGAACAAAAGAACAAATTGCTGTCCACCCAGTTGTTACATTCTTAGTCCTTTAGAAATAGTTTGGAGACAAACAGAAGGTGGTGCTTTTTGAAGCAGCAGCACGAGGCGTCTGGACCTATCATTAGATCGATTGTTTGTTTTTCTCGCAGGCTCTGTGTGTCAGAGGTGGGCAGTCTGTCCATGGCTGCAGCCGGGGAGCTCCGCAGCCCAGTGA